ATGCTGGCCCCTCAGTCATCAGTCTGGGGTCCATGCGTTCCCCCTTGCCAGCCTGATCTTGATTTCTTTGCTCATCACTCCTCTTTGTAACTGGGTTCCAGGAGTTCAGTTCGGTTCCCAGCTGTGGGTGTCTGCCTCTGCCTCCATCAGCCACTGGATCAGAGTTCTGGGATGGTATATAAGGTAGTCATTATTCTCATTATCATGGGAGGGCATTTAAGGTAGGCTTAGTGCCGGTTGGTGTCATTCTTGTAGATCTGTGAAGATCTCACTAGTGCCAGATCTCTCCTCCAACTTATGATGGCTCCCTCCTTGGAATTTTCATGTCTTAAATGTATTTATGAATCAGCCCCCATTGGAAGTCACCAAATAGTAGTCTACCAGAAGATACCACCAGAGGGCGCCACATCACCTAAGGAGGCCTCACTGAGTCTCCCAGCAGATTCACAAAGTTTTTTGTTGTTTTTTAAACCAGTGTCAGGAATGGGTTCAGGCTGGAGAAAAGAAAGTCCGGTGAGTCTTAGCAGTGACACCCTGATGACATCTGCATAAACAGTCTTTCACGTTCTCTTTGGACTTAAGTCAGTCCGCTTTTAAGTTTGTGTGCTTATACTTAGGTTCATGTGTTTCCTTTAAGTCTGTTGGGAATGCCTAGCTTAGACTACTTAATATATTTGAAACCCTTGGCTTGCTCTGGACGTGGCCATAGACACATGTGCATTTTCTAAAGAGCCTGGGAGCTTTTAAATGTATCTACAGACAAATAAATGGCCCCTATTGTAAGTTTCTACTTGGCTTTTAGTTCCTGTACAGTGGCCCTCAATTCCTATCACATGGACACCACAGAAGGTAGAGGTGCTCTGAGGCTATTTGTAGATTATTTCTGTGGCTCCCCATTTCCCAGGCCATTGAGGGAGTGAAAAGACAATGGGTGGCTGTGGGGGACAGATCCTATGCAGGCTGGATGGCTTCTGTCCCTCTGGAGCCAGGCCACAGCCTGGCTGTCACTGAGGCCCTTTGGGTGACAGTGTAAAGGTTACAGAGAGCTCAGGACCTGCATGGTCTTGCTCCAGCCCCCTTTTTAGGGGCTGTGTGGGTGTGCAGAACAGCAAAGCGGAGGGAGGGATCCCCATCGTGCCTCTTCTCACAGAGTGCGCCACTGAGCAAAGCGTGCCGAAGCCTGCTGCTACCTGACAGAATGCACTCAGGCAGTACCATGGTCAGCCCAGGGTTCCAGGAAGACAGTCTGCACGCAGGTGCAAAGGACCCCTTTAAAAGAAAGACCCCCGCCCACTTACACTCTCTTGCCCTTCATCCCCTCCCTCTCTCTCTCCCTTCATCTCTCTTCACCCTCCCCCCCCCGTAATAAACCCCATGGTTAATGTATCTCTTGTTTCCTGTTCCATAGCAATCACGATCTAATTTAAACAAAAGAACAACACCAAGTTTGTCCAGTTTGTGGTGTGTGTGTGTGTGTGGTGTGTGTCATAGTCATAACAACCGAAGTCTGTATGCTTTCTCCCTCATTCTTCCAGATAATCCTTTGGGGTGGGCAGGTGTGTGTGTGTGTGTGTGTGTGTGTGTGTGTGTGTGTGTGTGTGTGTGTCCTTGCCCAATGCAGGAGTGCTTGGAGGTTAGAGGTTGATGTTAGATGTTTCTCTCAATCATCTGTCCACCTTATATTTGACGTAGGATCTGTTCACTCAGTTTGGAGCTTATCCCCTCCCCCTTTTTTTCTTTGTTGTGCTGTCTGTTCAGCAACCTCTGGGATCTGCAGCTCTCCCTGCCTCCCAGCACTGGGATTACAGGAGTAACTACCATGCCTGGTCTCTGTGGGTTCAAAGGTCTGAACAACTCAGACTTGTGCAGCAAGCACTTTACTCACCAGACTCCATCCCTTGCCTCCTCTGTCTGTTTTTGTTCCAGTTTTAGAAACAAATAGCACAAGGGCAAGGTATCCAGTGTTCCTTGTGAATGTGAGGCCTCTCCCTGCGTAGGAGGAGCCTCTTCCTCAATAAGAACAGCTAGGTGATATAGGACGATGAGGTGGCCTGTGCGAGCTGGGCAAAGGCTTGATGATATCCGCTCCTGGCGGATGGTAATGCTCTCATTCTGTGTCTACAGTCAGGCCATCCAGGGAGAGGGTGAGGGACAGGTGATCACAGGATGGGAGGGCCTCTGATGAGGTCTCAGCAAGTCAAGGTTTTGGTCAACACTAGAGATGCGGAAAGCTTTAGTCAGCCTTTAAGGGGGAGTGGGAGACCAGAAAGAAGTTGGGGGTGAGGGTGTTGTCTCATGGGTCTTCTAGCACCTTCTAGAAGGCTGGTGAGATGATGATGATGGAGTAGGAACAGGACTTCACATGTGGGAGGACACAAGGCACAGCCAGCGGTCACTAACCTCTTGTACGAAGCCTTGATACTGGTGTTTCAGGGGGATTTAGGTTGTAGGAAGAACCTAGAGGGGGCCACTGGTTGCAAAGGGTCATTTTTTTTTTTTTTTTTTTGCTGCTGTGGGAATACATTCTGAAAGCTTCCTAACCCACAGGGTGACAAGACAGGATCTGTCCTTTGTTGATTTAGGCTCTAGATACTTTAAATCTTGGACTTACGGGAAGTCCCTAACTCTTGGCCTGTTAAGGCACAAAGGCAGCCGCTATTGAGAAAGCTCAGTATCGCTGCCACACACATCTCTCCCCAGAGTTTCCAAGTTCAGCTACCCCAGCCCTGTGCTGGAAAAAAAACCAGGGTGTTGCGTGCATGGGAATTGTGTAGCAGCTTCTGAACTCAAAGGATGATGCTGGAGGTGCCACTGGACGATATCAGGGGACGGAGGCAAGTTCTCTTTCCGGGAAATACCATCTGTAGCGCTCTTCTTCAAAACACAAACATCATAGTGTGCACGTGGGATTCAGAACAACTTACAGGGTCAGTTTATTCCCTTGACCTTCAGGAACAGAGCTCACACAGTCCGGTTTGGAGGCAAGCGCCTTTACTGATTGAGCCATTTTTATTACCTGTCTTTATATACTGTTCTTTTTGGGGATGGGTGGGTGTCGGGTGCAGGGTACCACACACTCAAAAACTGTTACCTAACTCCACCCCCCACCATGACTTTGGCCTTAAGTGTTTTCTATAGATACATGCACTGAGCCCAAGGAATGTACCAGCCAACTCCAGACTCAAATGTCTTGGGGGTCTGACACATCTTGGCCTCCACTGGCCCCTCTCCTGCCTCCTAAGGCCAGGGTGTTTTGGCTGACCAATGATTTAGGCGGAGACAGCTTGTTCAGGTAAGGAGACTCACTTGGGCCAATTTACCATAGGAAAAGTTGAAAGGTACCTGAGAATTCCAATTAGGCTATAACTAATGAGCTGGAAACTGGGGAAATCACTGTGGGCAATAAGGGGAGAGTGATCATCTTTGTTTTAATTAGCACAGGAAAAAGTTGTGGTCCAGCTGGTAGCTTGGAGAAGAAATGGCTAGAGGGAAGAAGTTTCTGTATGCATCCAAAGGGGGACTCCGGGGACGGTGGGGGACAGGAGTTGCTGAACAAACCTGGATTCCTTCCCCTTAAAGGGGAGAAAAGGGAAAACCGGAAACGTAGAAAGGCAAGCCTGAACGCAGAGAGCCCATCATCCGGTTGCTCTCCCCACAGGAATATAGACTAAACAGCAGGGAAGAGACCCTTTAAGGAACCCCATTATCCATTCAGTCGTGTTCCGCACCAACAGTCAGATTGCTGTCATCCTTGCTCTCTCAGGCAGCCCGTGTTGCTTAAGAAGGAAAAGGGATGAAAAAGAAACCCAAACCCAAACCAAACCAAAAACCCACCTGCTGCCGTCAGGGGTCACAGACCACCAACAGACTTCCAGATGACCCGTCCATCAGCCACGATCACTGGGGGACCTAGGAAACGGAAGAGCGAACTATGTCAGCAGGTGTATCTTTGGCTAGGGTCTTCTTCAGTCGCCAAGCCTGAGGATCTCGGGGCAATAAGCCCGTGGAATCGAGTTGACAGCGGGCCACTCTTCTCCTCATTAGGGACTCCTTTGGGAAAACCTGCCTACCCGGGGGTTGAACCTGGTGGCTTCTCCCTTGGGGTACACGGGACCTAGTCAGGGGCGCAACACATACTAAACCCTGCACGTGGGCTGAGGGCGCTATACTCTCTGTATCCTGGAAGGTGGGAGACCGCGTTCCCGTCCACCTCCAAATGGCCTGCGGCCCCTACTCAGCCCCAAGTCGTGGCAAGTCAGCCCCGTAAGCCTCCTCCCCTCCCGCTTCGGGCGGCTTGAGCCCGCGCCTGCTCCAGTTGCTGCAGCTGCCACTGCTGGCGGCTGCGGGGAGCGCGGGGCGCGCGCCGTAGAGGCTCCGGCTGCGAGAACGGGTACGAGGAGGAGCCGGAGGAGGAGAGGAGGAAGAAGCGAGCGGAGGCCCAAGAGGCTCTGGGTCATTGAGACCCGGCCCAAGGGGGTCCCGCAGAGCTAGAGGGCAGCGGTGACGAGAGAGCCGGCCGCAGCCAACGTGCCGCGGCCCCGCGAGCTCAGGAGGCGGCGGTCCAGAAGCCGAGCGCAGCCCGGGGGAGGAAGGGTGGCGCGGGCACGCCCGAGCGGGAGGGAGCGGATTCTCCGATCCTAACGAGCTGTCGCCTCATCACCCGAGCGCGGCGCGGGGACGGGCGGGGGACCCCGGGCCCCGGCGCAGCGCACACGCGTGGCGCACGCCTGGCGGGCCGGGCGGCGCCGAGGGCAGCCGGGATCGCGCGCACGGAGCTCGGGTCGGCACAGACCCCGGGCGCGGGCGGCCCGAGGCGCCCCCTGGGCTCTCGGTGCTCCGCGCAGCCCCGGGGGCTATCGGGGCCCGGGTCCGGGAGTGGGAGCCACCCGCGCTCATCCCCTCCCCCCCCGGGCGGGCCGGCGGCCCGGGGGAGGGCGGGCGGCGGCGCTTGGCTGTATATATCTCCACGCACCCCGCCAGGTCGCGCACAGAGCCCCGAGCCCAGGCGCCTCCCCGCCCCCCTCCCCGCGCTCCGCGGCGGCGGCGGCAGCAGTAGCAGCAACATGGCTGTTGATGGGTGTTCGGGGTGGCGCTGGCGGCGGGAGGAGCTCCCCCGAGCCCCTGCGCCGGCCGCCCGTTGCTAGCTATGGCAAACGGTGGCGGCGGCGGCGGCGGCAGCAGCGGCGGCGGCGGCGACGGCGGCGGAGGCAGCGGTCTTAGAATGAGCAGCAATATCCACGCGAACCATCTCAGCCTAGACGCGTCCTCCTCCTCCTCTTCCTCCTCCTCTTCTTCTTCCTCCTCCTCTTCCTCCTCGTCCTCGGTCCACGAGCCCAAGATGGATGCGCTCATCATCCCGGTGACCATGGAGGTGCCGTGCGACAGCCGGGGCCAACGCATGTGGTGGGCTTTCCTGGCCTCCTCCATGGTGACTTTCTTCGGGGGCCTCTTCATCATTTTGCTCTGGCGAACGCTCAAGTACCTGTGGACCGTTTGCTGCCACTGCGGGGGCAAGACGAAGGTAATGCGCGCCCCGGGCGCCCGCCCCCTGCGCCAGCCCCGCCGTTTCTCTGCGTCCCCTGCAGCCCACCTTTTGCTCCGCACAGCGTCTTGCCTCCTTCAGTCCCTGCCTGCCTTGTCCCCGTCGTCTGCCCTTTCTTCTCCTCTCCCAGTGCCCTCGGATTGGGGCAACGATCTGTGCGCCAGTGGTCAGGAGTTGACCCCAGCCGGTGCGCTCCCGGACGCAGACCCCCGCTTTAGTTCTCTGTTTATTGTAGGGTTGTTGGAGGCTGCAGACCGTCCGGGGTCGGGGCACATGTGTCTTTTGGGTATGGTGGTGCGGAGTGAGGAGAATCAACCTCGCTGGGACAGAGGAAACAGGAAGATCCTGGATGCCAGCCGGGCACCACTCACTGGCCCCGGCTAGGCTTCTCATGGTGGGCGAGTGTGGGCAGATCAGTTCGTACTTTAGGAGCTTGTTGGGGAGATGACTTTATGGGGTCCCAAAGAAGGGAAGGTCCTTTAAGGAAGAAAATCTCTTGCATTTGGGAATCCAGAGGGAGCAACGTGGCTGGAGAAAGTGGAGGCACAGAGGTCAACAGAAAGTTGGGGAGACCCATCCCGGATGGGGGTCAACCCATGGAGAATCACTTTCTGAATGTGGCATGGTTGCAAGTCTGATGTCACCGCCCACTCCATCCTTTACATTTTCTTTGTGGAACATTCTCCTACCCCAAGTACTTTCGCCGCCTCTGCACTCCTCCTAGGCCACCCACTTTGGGTCCCCGCAAATGCGGCCGGCAGTTCTAAGCTGTAGCAGGAGGGCTGCCCACTTCAGAGTCTGAGGCTGCAGCTTCCTGCAGCCCCTTCTTGGCCCTTGATGTGGCTGGAAGTAGCCTTAAGCTATTCCCGGCAGAGACGCCCACAGGCACCAGGACTCACATCTTAGATGTATGGTTGCTAGGCTGACTCCAGGGTTATGACCATTTCTCTAGAGGTGTCTCTGCCCACCACCTAGCACTGGCTGGAGGTGAGGACGGGGATGGGCAGTGTTTGAGAAAAAGACTACAGGATGAATAAAAGAAAGAACTGGAAAAAAAGGTCACTGAACTGGGTGCCTTCTTTTCGTGTAATTCTCATCCGAGAGGACTTCACAGCACCCACATTTTTGAAGGGAGGAGATATCTCTGTGTGTGTGTGTGTGCAAGACAGACACTCATCTTGCTCCCCAAATGTTCACACCTGCTCCAGTAAAGTTCATACTGGGACCCCCTCAGACTTCACAGGGCCCAGCAACTTGTAGCAGCCTTCTGGCTGCTAAGAAGAGGAGTTAGGCTAAGGGAAAGGCTGACTGTGAAACCCAAGGGCAACTGAAGCACTCTGTGTCATTAATTATACATCACCGTAGGTGCTGGGCTCAGCTGTGTTTTGTGGCAGCACATCTGTGTTTTGGAAAATACTGGTGTGTTGGAATAAGGGAGGAAAAAGGAAAATCAGCCTTCTTTGCTTTCTCTTCCCATTGCTCTGAAAGCCTCGAATGGTGGCTGGCTGGCTTTGTTTGGAGTCACCTTCTTGGTGATGGAAGGCCCCCTTCCTTCTCAAGGAGAAAGATTGCTGGCCTTCAAGAGAAGCCTTTGAATTAAGCAAGGTTCCTGCAGCCAGACCCAGAATTGCCTTCTGCCTGACTAGACTTCACTTCAGCCTGATCATAGAAACTTAATCACTCTCCTCCACCTCCAGCCCATCCTGGGAGTTTCTCCCTCTCACATTGAGATTTGGCAGCTTTTGTAGTGCGGAAGGAGGGTCACAGTTGCATGCACTTCACCTGTTTTCTAGATGCAAATGGTTTGGGTTGACTTTTAAGAATTACCTCCATTTTTCATAAAGTGAACCATGTTGATCATAACAAAAACTTTTCATCCTCCCGAGAGTTTAAATGCAGCTTCTAACATCCCTTTACTCTAAGGCTTACCCAGTGCTACTATACTGCCTGCCATGAAATGCTCCTTAGGGAATTTACATATGGAATCTCTCTCCTAAATAGTGACCAGCATAGTTTCTGTCAGTTTTCACATTAAAAGACTGGTTTTGTGCATGGATAATTAAAAAAAAACTACAAATTTGTTTACATAGTATTTAACCTCAAGACCAACTAAGTGCACATGATATCATGAGTTCTTTTAGAATCATGCCCAGATCTCTTAATACCTGCCTTTTGATTTGTTCAATTAAATTGTGTGGACTTACCTCACTGTATCTAACAATGCTAAGTGAGGCATCTTAGAAGGTTTTCTTTCTATCTCTTGGGCTCTTCATTCATTTTGCCATCATTCCCCCCCTCTTTGCTTTCCAAGTATTTGATTGTTTTGTCAAGACTTAGTGCAGACTGCAGAATAAAGCTGGAGTTTAGAACAATTGCACTGTTAGTCTCCCCAAGCAAACCTCTGATGGTTTTCCACGGAAACTTCTACTCACCCTCAGGCCCATTTGTTCACCCCTACCGCTATCCAGATCCAGCACAGTTTTCTGAGAGCTAGAGCTCTAGGGAAGATGTCTTCTCAGCACATGGAATTCCCAGGGAGACAGGTTTCCACAGGAGCTTGGAATCCTGTGCATTTGTTGTTTTTGTTGAAAGGACTGTGGACATGCATCTTGGGGCCTCTGCTCATTTGCTCCTTTGGCCTCCAAATAGCATATAGCTAATGGCTTCATCATTAAAGAAAATAGATTGTGTACTTTTGTGGGGGAGGTGGGGGAGTAAGGAAGCACATTTATGCTGGTGTGCTAGCAAATGCATGTAATTCTCATCATTGAGGACAGAGGCAGGAGGATCATGAGTTTTAAGTTAGCTTGGACTGTGTAGCCATATTTTGTCTTGAATAGCCAAAAAGTCAAACAAAATAATAGCAGCAAACCTCACCACCTCCCTCCCTGTTTGGAAGGTGGACACAGTCTTGCCAGCACTGTCCTTTTCTGAGCTTTTTCATAGTATTGCTTCCCTCAGCACCCCGGCTTTCGTCAGCATGCCCTGGTCATTTGGCCATGATGTTTTGAGGTTCAATCCAGTACTAGATTGTAGTTAAGCAAGAGAGCTATTTAGGCAGCCTAGGTAAGTCATTTAACTTCTCTGATTCCTGTGAAATTTGAGAGTTGAAACCCATGAATTCTAATCTGCTCCCTGCTTTGGGGTCCCACACAGGAGAATGTAAGGCACAAGGCATTGTGGGGAAAGATTTTAGCTCAGTGGGCTTTGCAGCTCTCTGGAGCCCTTTGGAATTTGACTGCTGACCACTTACGTGTGTCTGTTCTCTTGACTTGTTCATCTTCTAGCATATGGTCTGTGTCTCTTTAAAGGTCTGGAGAAGCAGGTCACTTGTGGGCGGATCTCTGGAGTGCTGTAGGGACTGCATGTGGCCAGGCAGACTCCCTGTTAATCTCAAGTCAGGACCATCATCCTTATAGCAGCTTGGGCTTCATCAAGGATGTTCTGCCTGTTGTGAATTATTGAGGTGTTGTCTCCATGGCTATGTCTGAGAAAACAACACATTTGCTCTGTCAAGCTCGTGACTAATATAAATATCAGATCCCATTAAGGCTTGGTAATTACCCAGGGTCTGGGCTGGTGCATTCAATCAGGACTTCGGCTTCAGCACCCTGGAACTCTCGATTCCAGATTGGCCCCAGTGCCTTCTTTCCCCTTGTCCTGGCAACGCCAGCGCCAATGACCTTCACATACTCCTTTGTGGTCAGATCACTTGGGTTGGCCAGGGAGAATTTCTCAGGCCTCAGTCATAGGGGACCTGACCTGACCTGGTTTTGTCCAGAAAGCTTGTTCTCATTGCTTATTAAAAACAAACAAACAAACAAACAACATTTATTTTGTTTTATGTGTCTGTGCCTGGGTATGTGTATGTGCGTCAGGTGCACGTGGGAGCCTGGGGAAGGGAGAAGTTTTGGATCCTCAGAAACTGGACATTCAGATGGCCGTGAGCCACTGCAAGGGTGCTGGGAACATACCTGGGCTCTTAACTACTGAGCCATCTCTCCAGCCCTGGCTATGTTGTTTGTTTATTTATTGATTCTTGACGCATACTTTGGACTCCACAGTTAATAGACCCAGAATAACGGGCGCCATTCGCACTCAGGAGGGTATCTTTGGTTGATAGTAAGGTCTCCCCTTATTTCCTTATGGGTCAGAGGAGCCCATTGGCACAGCTTTGTAGAATTCCTATGAACAGTATCGATAGCGGGTCTACGCGCCCAACAAATACCAGGTACTAGGAGGCTTCTTGGCAGTGGGAGTTTGCCACAGCTTTACCAACTGAGAAGCTGTTTTCTCTGATTTGTTGAGCGACAGCTACAGAAGGGCACAGACTAGAGCCAAAGGAGCCTCCAGACTTGACATCATGAGTCAAATAACCTGTCCAAAGTCACGCTGAGATTGGGACTTCTGGCTTTGGGTCACTGCAGGTTAGGACGATTGGGTTCTGGTAGCTGAAGAAGGGTCTATGGAGGGTGTCATGGCAGTATGGTTGTGTTGCTGATGATGGGGCAGGGTGTTATGGGTAGGCACTGCTTGTGCTGGGGTCTCAGAGATGTAGGGCCGGCAGAGGGAAACATTGTAACAGTTAGCTGGAGGTGTAGTGGTTCAACACTATGTCCTTGAAGAGGGGCAGACTCCATCCATGGTAGCCCAGGTCAGAGCTCCGAGACTTCTCCCCCTCTCCCTGGATGTTGTGGTCTTCTAGCTAGGATGCTGTGTACCCAGACGAGCTTTTCCCTGGCAACCCTGACAGCAGGACTTCCCAAAGTATGTTCTGGCCCTTGCCCTTGCCCTTGCCGTTACCCTGGGGGAGATTGGTAGTGAGGGCCCTGGCTGAATATCCTCTTGGAGGATCTCATCGCAGGCTTACAGAAGTCTGCAGGGAGAGAGCTTGTCCTTGCTCTGAGCAGCCCTTCCCCAGGCTCCTATTCTACCGTGTGGTGACCAAGAGTCAGCCTATGACCTTGGCAAGGACTTCC